TTTGCAAATTTATAAAGGCTGCATTGAATTCAGCATGGGTCAAGGGGCAAAAAAAGGGTAGAAGGTCACTGCATTTTGATTATGGGTCAGTAAACAACATGGCATGTAGTATGTGTCCAGAAACTCCTGCTAAAAAGTATTTTAAAACTACCAGGAGTACCAAACTCAAGAAACAGTCTTAGCCTGTGGTGATTATAAATTGTACGGAATTCTAGTGTGCAAGTGACACCCCAGCCCCCACGGAAAAAATACAACTTAAAAAGCACTTAGCAGAACTCTGCATCGCCACTTTGTTTACCAAAAAAAAAAAAAAAAAGAAGAAAAGAAAGAAAAAGAAAAAACAAAAGAATAAAAAAACCCAAGTCTGAAACTCCTAGGCATAGGACTGTTAGCCAGATTATCTTTTTTTTTTTTTTTCCCCCCAGACTGATGGTTGGCATTTCTTTGTCCTACACGTTTAGGAGATTTAGTTATACATTCTGACTTGTTGTCATACTAGAATTTACGGCAAATTTTAGGTGCTACAGTCACATTTGGCTGACTTTAAAATAGCAGAAGGATCCTATTATATTGTTCTTTGACCCTATTATATTTACGTTACCGGACTCTTTGTGATAGCCTCTAGCTGCTTTCTATCTGTGTCCTCCTTGAGCAAAATATGCCCAGCAATATCTAGGAGCAGGGTATAGGGTTAGAAAACATGTTCTCATTTGAAATATGTATTTCTGCCCAGCGTCATGAAAGCAAAAGGTTTATTTAATGCTTGTCAATACCTGAAGACACGGTCCAGCACTTAACAAATAATAATAAATAATAATAATACCCTAATAATGTGGCAATCCTAGTGTGAAAATGCACATGACCTCTTAGGTTTTCCCGAAGATTTTCAAAAGAATTCTCTCCATTAGTACAGCCGCTGGTGGACATCGCTGTTGCATTTCCCAACTAAACGTTTAAAAGACTGTAAATGGTGTGTGCATTACTTCATTGCAGAAGGAAGAGGTCAGGCTGAATTGCACTGGTATTTAAACATAATCATACTATGAAAATAAATCAAAACATCACGTAAAAGGAGTATTTTAAATGTTACACACATTTTCTTTCTGGAACGACGTGGTTAAGCACTTCCCCGCGAGCATATATATTTTAACACAAGTTTACAAAAATGAAAGTATACGATTTCCAATAAATGGGAATAGGTCTACAGCGAGGTATTATGAATATTATTTTGCTCTTTCCTTTCTAATGAGGTTTATCTTTCGGCCAGACAGCTTCAAGACTGAAATACTACTGACTATAGAGTGTAGATTGCAGATTGCACGCTACTCAACGTGAGAAGGAGCACGTTTGATTGATAGTCTCTGTGTGTGTGTGCGCCTATACACACAACTCTCTGTAGTTGCATGTATATGTATTTGGCAAAACTGGGCATCTCTGGGCGTCCTTATCTTAAGAAATGTGAGACAAACGTCCATCCCTTTAATCATGTCCATCTTTGATCACCAGCGAGGGTGACACAGTCCACGAAATTAACAAAGAAACTCCCTTGCTTTTGAGAGATAGCTACATACACCTCTGGGTCTGCACACACATGCACGACATGCACATGGACACACCAACACGCAGGCATACACCCCGGCTCCCAGTAAGTAAATTATTGCATAACTTCTCATGTAATTGATACCAGACACCTTTAATTTTTCATTTTCATTCTTTTGGCCAGCTTTCACATTAACAATCTAAGCCATAAATGTTGGTGGCTATTGATCGCAATCCCCTGTGTGCGTGCAAATCCATTTTCAAGTCCCCTGCCTTTAATGTGCGTGTGCGTGTGCAAGGGGCCTCCGCCGGCTCTTTATCAGGATCTCCCCCCAGCCTGCTTGAAGACGACCCCGGATACACTACGTGTGCTGATGGCCAAGGGAAGGCACCAAAAAAAAAAACCCCAAACAAACAAACAAACGATGGAGAAGTAGCGAAACAGAGGTCTCCGTGTGAGATGCGGAGAAAGATACGCAACCGAAAGCGTGTGTAAGTATAGGGTGGGGATGTGTAGGTTGGGCGGCTGACATTTCCCGAGACTTCTGGTGGGTTTCCCCCTGTCGACATTCGGCTCTGCCTCGACCCCGGCGCCCACGGCCGCACCTTTCGGATCATCGAGGTCTACCGAAAAGCCGCTGCTAGTTTTAAACGTTTGGGAGCGCAGGAATTAAGCAACCAAAAATAACGCATTTTTTAAATAGTTGCCGAATCCCACCGCCGGGCTGTCACTGGCAGTACGTGGGTGCGTGTGCCCGTGGCTCCCCGCGTGCGGAGGCACGCGTGGATTTACACGGGAATCCAACCCAGCTGAAGTACCTGGCAAATAAAGGACTTTTCAGCCCATCGGGGTTTTTGGTAACGTCTTCTGAGCAGCTTTCTCGGAGTTTACAGCTCCTTTACTGTTGACTCCATAGCCTTAACCTTAAAGCAGGGGGAGGAGAGCAGCGGGGAGGGGGTGGGGGTGTTGGCAGCATATAAGTACATCAGGAGGAATTTTTAAACGACCTTATTGTCTCTAGCTCTAGAAAGACCACGATGATTTCTTTTTAGCGCCAGCAGCTGTTTTCTCTCGAAACTTTGCTTCCAGCCTCAGCATATAGCAGGGTGCCTCTCACGCGAGCGAGAAAGAGAAAGGCAAGGCTGGGGGATCCAGATGCAAGGCGAGGGAAGGCGAACTCCGCGGACGGTCTTAGCCGCGCCGAGGCATTGTTCACTGCTGCCTCTCGGTTACGTTCAAAGGCTGAAATATCACGAGATCCACTCAATGATCCTTTTCTAATTCGAGGGACAAAATGTAATTTGCCGTAGCTCTGCTTTCTCGGATGGGAATACTATCCCTAGGTCTCAAAGGGAAGAACCAGGCATCGCGGTTCGCGCACACATGGATTAAGTTGAACAGCGGCGATTACATCTGCGCCGAGAGCAACAGTAGTCCAGGGCTGACTTTTCAAATCTCAGCCCTCCGAGTTAGAGGCTCCCTTGAATAGACTTCCTCCATTCCCGGATGCACTTCTCCAAATTCCCACTTCTCTCTAGAATTCCTGCGAAATGGGGGGCTCGCCTGCATTTCGCCTTGGCGTGCAAAGCTGCGTTTTTACGGAGTGATTATGCGCTTTATTTTAGCTGTACCTGACGGGGTAACGCGAACTCCGCGCACCATATTGCCAATACGCGGAGTGGGTATTGACGTTTGGGATTGAAGAATTTTTTTTTTTTTTATTTTCCTCCGTCGATTTTTTCGCCAAGTCCCAGAAATATGAGATGTCTCATTAATCTCACGGATATGTCTAATTCTGGATGTGCGGCGATACGTAAAAGTGCTCGTGTTTGTATCCAGCGGAACACTGGGTGCACGGCAGAGATTGGCGATTTTTTTTTTTTTTGCAGCGCCTAACGTGCAAACCGCAAGCAGCATCATTTTAACGTGACAAGGGAGAGGCATGCAGCTATCGCAACATTTGCGAAACCCTCGTTGCTGACACTCGAATAATTTAACGTTCCTAAGAAGAGGTTAAACCTTCATGCTGCTTCTTCAAATTGATTTTAAGGGGCTGCTATAAACGGAACATCAAAAAGCTGCGGCAGGGCTACTCCGAGCGGAATACGCAAACTGCGAGCCAGAAGCATCCTAGCCCGTCGCAATATCGTACATTGTGTGTGCCAGCACTTTTTTGTTATTACGTAAAGGCTCTTGGAAGCACCTTGGATATTTTACATTCTCCTTTCTCTGCTGGAAGCAATCAGCGCGCAGGAATCCTGACGTGGGCTCTGGGACTATAGGACATTCCAGCTCGTGATCCAGCACGGTTAATTGTGAAAAGTGTATACATTTCTGGCTTATCTATGCTTTGTTATGGGTCTGACGTGAGCCCACGTCCTCCTCCCCCCTCCCGCAATATTACAGGCAGAATTTCAGTTAAAAGTGTTACAGTATCTCGGTGCAGGAACCCGTGATATACAGACAACAAAATAACCTTAGTCCCCGGCTGTAAAAAGCTAATTAAGCAGAAGAGGAAAATCAAGAGAAACTCGAAAATGTAAGTACTCCCTCTCGTTAACAACCGAGCATTTAACTTTGGAGCCTCAGAAGGGGAAATACCAGGCTGTTCTGCACGTTTTCGCTAAGCTTCATTTTCCACACAACGCAGAATAAAATGCTAGTTTAAAGCGGCTACGTTACCGAAGGGTTTTCCATCGCTACGATCAGACTTATGTCCTTTAAATTCACGGCATGCACAAAAGAGCAACGTTTGTCCAAAATAGGTTAAAAATATACGAAACGATAGGGGAAAAAGCATGCAAATCCTTCCTCGGAAGCTAGCGACGAGGAAGTCTGAGAGGTCTGAATGTGTTTGAGCTCGGATTGTTTAATAGAAAGATTTATATACTAACTGTATTATTTACTTTGGGAGGGGAGGTGGCAGTATAAGGGTATGCTAATTAGTGGGAGATTTTTTGGGGGAAGGGGTGGAATATCAATTTTTATTGCATCACCTGTCAGGAGTGTCCAATCAGCGTTGGCTTTAGGGGAATTAATTGATGAAGGTGTCTCCGGACGAGCTCACTTCACTCTGTCATTTTATTTGTAGCTAAAGCAGCGGCGGGAATAGCAGCTGCATTTCTTTTCTCTTCCTCCCTTCACATTCCATTATCATAGTTTCCAACGGAAAAGCAGGGAATGAAAGGGAACAGGTACTGATCTTCAACAGCAACTTAGAGAAACACTCTGGCAAACCTGATTTTTAAGATTATATCTTGATTGTAGCCTCACGGTATTTTTTTTAATTTATTTTTTTTAATTTTGTCTAAAGTTTGGCACTTCATTCACCAGGAATAACAGCCTTTGTTATATTTTATTAGCAGGATGCCTTGAGACAAATACAGCATCTGGCTGAGGATTGTGTGTGTGTGGCTTTTTCTTTTTTTTTTTTTCCCTTTTTTTTTTTTTTTTTCATCTCTCTCTCTCTCTCTGCAAATGCTGGGAATAATTTAATTCACGAAATGGGAGACCTGAAGTCGGGTTTTGAAGAGGTGGATGGCGTGAGGCTCGGCTACCTCATCATTAAAGGAAAGCAAATGTTTGCACTCTCCCAGGTTTTTACAGACCTGCTCAAAAACATCCCGCGAACTACCGTGCACAAGCGAATGGATCATTTAAAAGTAAAAAAGCATCACTGCGACCTGGAGGAGTTGAGGAAACTCAAAGCCATCAACTCCATCGCTTTCCACGCCGCCAAATGCACCCTGATCTCCAGAGAGGACGTGGAAGCCCTTTACACATCCTGCAAAACCGAACGGGTCCTTAAGACGAAGCGGAGGAAAATAAGCCGGGCGCTGTCAACCACCGACCTCCGGCCGGAGCTCGCACCCACCGACCCCTTCTCCGGCTTCTGGAAGGAGAACAAACTTTGGCTGGGTTTGAATGACTCCCCCCGGCCCCTGCTGCCCGTCAGGAGGAAAGCTTTGCGTCCGGGGGACACAGCCTTGCTACCGGCCTCTCATCTACCTCACATTTTTAGTAAATACACTGGCCACAGCTACCCAGAAATCGCTCGGGCGCCTTGCAAACCCCCCGTAAACTATGAAACGGCGCCGGCGGCGGGCAGCTGCGCGCCCCT